CGTCCCATATGTGTAAACGTGGAAACCCAACATTAGACGAAGTAAAACCGAGAGTTATAACAATACCGATTCTTTCAAATAGTAACAGTTTGATAGTAGGATATTATGGTTACTACTTTCAGTGTTTCTATATATGTTCAGTCTTTATTAATGATACTCCTTAGTCGGTTTTACAATCACTTTCCATCCGAAAAAATTCTAGTATAGATAGAAAAAGAACAAAGTTAATTATACTTTTATAAACTAACCTTAAACTTCAAATTCAATAAGAGGAATAATAGTTAACATGGTGGTTGGAGGTAGTCAACAGGAAACCGCGTACCCGGATTTCATGTTATTTAACCCAGATAGCTCAGTGAAAACATCTTTGACTGTGAAGCTGCGTGATACGGGGTTGAATACGTCAAGGAGCACCAGTTTCCTCGAGATTACAGGTACGCCTTTCTGACGAGTGCCATTAGCACGAAACCCAGGTCCAGGGTTTCTTGTTGACTATCTCTTTCCACCATCTTATCTCAACATAATGCACTCAATATCGAGTCACCTAGACTTATGGCCACATTGAAACTTCGTCAATAACATTCGATCTGCATTAAGAAGGAACTGACACACATGGCATTGATCACTACCCAGTGATCTGTAGTGTCTGTTATTATGTTAAGCTCATATACAGCTCAATCGGACAGCTCAATCTATTCATTCTATTTGAGACACATTCTAACCTTGTTAGTTATTCTCTAATCAATCTTGACTGTTTTTATATGAGCGCGTAGGCGTGTGTACACTTCTTATCCCATTACTCATCATATGTCTGTTACTTATTTTTGTGTAACTATAACTATTGATTAACGCTTGGTTAAAGAGGAGTTGGCTTACCAGCCATCTCCACTGAGTGTTGTTTCGTTTCTCTCTATTCGATTAGCTTCACATGCAAAATAAATGTATTCAAAAGTTCAATCTCATTATTTGACTTATTTAATTCCGTTATTAACTAACGCGATTTAAGTCGATTATATACGAGGATAGGTGATAAAAAACATGCATATGATCTATTTGGAGTTAGATCTCGGGTCACTAAAATGTAGAACCCTTCAGCAACATCATCCAATCTAAATAACGGGACCCACAGATCAATCATTTGTGAGGGATAATGATTATATATGTTAAGTACAACTTTCCCAATAAAAAAATTGTACAAAAGTACAAAAGTGGGTTTGTAGGGTGTTATATCCCGGCGAGAATATGAAATGGTAATTGTTTAGATCCATTTATAGACCAGTATGGTACATATATTTGTAATTTATAATTGTTAAGTAGCTAAACTATACATATTCATGTTCCTCTTATTATCAGCTTCACTTTTACCCATAGACTATTATTATACAATTTACCGTTCTTGAGTTCTACCCAGTCTATTAATTACTATCTCCCACATTCACATCCACTTTTTGGCTTAATCTTTTACAAATTTTGTTTCATATTTTATGATACGTTATGGTCTGTTTGATTGGTATATAACCGCAGTATGTTTGAAATACATGATTCATATCGCGGAGGCTGAAATTGATTTTCTGGACTCAACAGGTAGGGCTAGTCAGGAAGAAGGACTGATGAAGAATCTGAACTGCTCATACAGGTTTATGCGTCATTGGTCCGGTTTATAAGTCACTGTTCTCTAATTGGCGGTATCATTACGTTGTATATTAATGGGGCACCAAGCCACAAGTTATAACTTAGGGTATTTCTTATAAAGAACTCAATGAATCTACTCTGTACTAATTATCAAAGTACAAACTTAACTATTTCTTTGTCAAGATGATATTCAATACAAGGAATATGTACTTAACTATGCAATACAGCTTCATTAGATTACTGAATTTAGATTAGAATATAAACATACACACAAACACCCGAGTCTGTCGTAAATGGACATGTGTTATCACCAAATAGATTTCTATCCAGCAATCAATTGCAGTCTTAAAGAAAAATAGGTAGATAGAAGCAAACATTACCAAGTGAATTCAATCAATACTTTGTTTGTTACGAAGAATAAATTTTAAAAAAGATCATTTAGTTAATGATATGTTCTTCCCTTCAGTAACTTCTCTCTGTAGTGTCTGTAAATAGATCTTGTCACTATGCATACTAAACATAAGGATGCAAAGATTCAGGGGGTTAAAATGAATCATATTTCATAATAATAACCATGAGTTAAACACTAGAAAAGTTTTATGCTTTGGACATCTCAAATTATTTGATGTATTTGTAGCGTAGAATCGTGATCCGAAATTTTATAAACCGTTTGGGATACAGAACACAGACAAACAACTTCGTATATATATATTGGTAAAAAATTGAACATAGAATGAAAGTCTTACTTCCTCTTTTGAAATTCCTACAGTCTCAAAATAATTAACCATACAAACGGAATTTTCGTGTTATTCAGGCTTTCAGTAATCAAAATAAACTTAAATGTTTTGTACTTATTTTTGAATACTAGGATCTAAGCGATCAAACCTCAAGAAGAATTGATCTCTTTTGAGGAATTCTAAAATCAATTGATCAATCTGTTCAGATTAAATCATCTATGATTGAATAAGTTCTTTGATTCGGATGGTTTGGTCGTGGAGCTTTCATCGTTCTTCTGAACGATATCATTAGCACGAACTTCAGGTAGATATGAAGTAGTCGAATTTCTCCACATGTGGTTCACAGCTTGTCTTGCACACCTCGATGTTGATTGGTTCTTGTTGACCATGAACCTAACATTGTTTATTTCGTTATTTTGGATGTATCTTCCATTGGTTTGATTTTTATTCTTATATTTGGCATAATTTTCCTAATTGATTGATAAATTGGTTCGATTTCAATGTGTTTGTTGATTGTTGATTGACCTGAATGCCAAGCTTTTAAAAATTTTCTAGTTTTGTTTTGGGATTGCCTCTATCCAAAATTTCCATATTTTTCCAGTCGAATGTGTGTCTTCAGTTGTCTACATTCATTGATATAAGTGAGGATATGTCAAGGTGTTTACCTGCTAATTGATATTCATGCAGGCGAAAATGAACAGGACGTCCGCTTTATCCGATGTAGTATTTTTTTACAGTTAACACAATTTGTTTTGTAGATGATGTTTTATTTGTCTTCTTTTATTATTTCATCCTTTACTTTGCATAGGATTAATCGTAATGATTTTATTGGTTTGTATGCAACACCTACATTTTGAAGGTTTACAACAGTCTCGTTGTAGTTTCTAATATGCCTTTTATGTATGATAAGTATCGTCATTTCATTCTGTTTCTGTGTGGGCTGTGATACTGCCCGGGTGCCCAGACCAGAAGAGGTGGTTTTCTTAGGGGACTACACCCCGAGCCTTCGACCTAAAAGTCTGATCCACAAGGCAGTGGAGCATCGTGAGTAGATGCAGTCTCATGGTAGCCGGTGGCCAACAGTTGGTTCATACGCCATTTGTTCCTTGAGAATACTGGAGCCCATGTGCACCATTGGTTTGGGATCCGGTCAAAGCTCCAGACATTCGCTTTTCGACCTCTCATTTTCGCAAACAACACCACCGCCACGAGAAGGCAGTGAGTAGGACTTAGTTGGCAGAGGCTATATACACGTGGCCTTGTGAGAGCATTTCGAGATGGTGGCATCGTGCGTTCGGGCGCAGAGACGATAATACAATTGGTGTCACCATCTTGAAACACTGACTTCGGTGGTCTGAACATGTTCTACGAATGTCGTCCGAGAGAATTTCACGTTGTGCATTATTTGCCGACGCTGAGACTGGTTGGAGAAAGCGGAGAGGTGGTCAATGTATGACATGGTGTCGGGGTATGAAATAAAGCTGCGAAGTGCTGGCTTGTGTTGGTCCTTCACGAGTCCCTGGCTGGGGTCCGAGAGATGGTGCAAAACAGTAGCTAGAGACGTTATCAGATATGGCTGAGAATAGAAGCCAGCGGCGATCCTGCTGTAACCTTTTATTGCTTTCTTCATGAAAAATGGTTGTATCTTCCTTAATTGAAAGATTTCTTCTAATTGTACATTACCGTTTCCCCCATTATTATTATTATTATTACTACACTACCTTACACTAGTCTGTGGTCGTTATTATTCCTTTTTTCCTAGACGCTCCTTACGTTCTTTTTTTCTCTTCCCATTCTCATTGTTTTGTGTGGCGCATATATATTTGGTGCCCTCTTGTACCAATATTTATGTGTTCAAATAATAATAAAAATAATTTATGTATGGTAGGCTAAACCTTTTTGATGATTTCTGTACTTGATTTCATTTCCGATGATGTTTGTATTTGGTATTATTTCTTTGATGAAATTGACTAAGTTCTAGCTTCTTCTCTCTCTGTCTCTCTCTTTCTATCTCTTTCTCTCTCTCACACACACACACATATTCTATCCCAGTTAACCATTCATGAATCAATCACATCGAAGTTATATTGTTTGAAATCAATTAGAACTTGTTAAAGAACTCATAACTACAAATACTAATTCATAAAAAACATTTAGTACCATTTTCAATTACTCACATGATAAAAACAAAATACCAATTACTCTTAATACAACAGGTATGCATAGAATCCAAGCGAGAAAAAAAAATTCTTTTTTTTTTTTATCTGACTGACATATGAAAACATGCATAGTAACACATATTATCAGCACCATATTGTTTCATATATGTTACAACAACAAGAACAACGACAACGACAACGACAGCACCAACCATCCATAAAAAAAGAATTTTTTTTTCTTTTTTTTTTTGGTTTTCAGTAATTTTACAACTTACAATATTACATTTTAATGTGCATAAATTACCTTTTCAGTATGAAAAAAAAACACAACACAAAAAAAAAACACGCAAACAACAAAAATCAGTCATTAATATAACTGGTAACAAAATTATTTTATCAAATTGTATAAATCATATTGAGATAAACAAAAGGAATAAGATATTTAGTTACTAACCTCTATAAAGTTCATTCGATTATTATTATTATTATTATCATTATCATTATTATTATTATTATTCTTGTATTATTTCATAAAGATGATATTATCACTATTACAAAAGTATTGGACTATATTATTTATTCTATTCAATATACTACTTATTGTAAGTAATATTCTATTACATAATTCAATTATATAATCAAGTTATTTGATTTAGCTTTATTAATATTACCTTTTAGAACATTAAATATTCTATCAAATTATAATACAATATTAGATTATTTTAAACCAATTATTTATCCAATTATTATATGTAGTGGATTTCTTGGTCTATTTAGTATATTCATTGGATTTATTGGAATATGGAAAAAGAAAAATCTATTCATTTGGATGGTAACTATTTATTATTTTTTTATATTATTAATAATAATATTAATTTGATTAGCATATTATTGGATTAATTATAGCAACAATTATTGAAATTTCAATATCGATCAATTCAAGTGTATCGAATAATCAAGTTAGTTACTATACTCATAATAAATTGTATCTAACATTTAAAAAAAAAAAAAAAAAAAAACTTTTTTTTTTGGTGTTTAGTATTTTAAACCAGCTAATCAATCATTATGGAATTCATTACAATATTATCAAAAACATCCAAATTATGAAAATCAATTTGATAATTTACAAAAAGATGTAAGTCATTCAAATAGATTTAATTTTATTTTTAGTTTCAATGCTGTGGGGTTATATCATCAAAAGATTATACTAAACTTGTAGATTATTTACCACTTTCTTGTGAAAAAGGAAATCAACTTTATTTAAAAGTAAGTTAGTAGTTAATTTTTTGATAAAGTTCTATTCTGTAAATTGAACGATCTAGTTGTAGAGCTTTTATTGTTGTTTATCTGAACAATATTATCAGTACAATATTGAGGTAGAAGTGAAGTGTTCAAATTTCTTCATATATAATTCATAGGTTGTCTTTTACATTTTGATATTGATTAGTTCTGGTTGATGTTAAACCTATTATTGTCTTGATTGTATCTCCCGTTGGTTTTGTTGCTATGTTTGTGTATAGTTTTTTTTTTCTTGATGAAGTTCAGAAGAACAACCATGAAAGCTCTACAACTAAACCATCCAACTCAAAGAACAAAATTCTATTAAAAATGTTATAATTTAAAATGTATATTTCGTTATTAGTAAGACTCTTAATTGTTCTGTTATTGATATTATGAGCTAAATTTTGATCAGTCTTAGCTGGTATGTCTATATTATGTGTTATTTGGTTACAATAGACTTATCATAGGATATATTATAGTTTATAGTCAGCAGTGAGTTTTGTTTCGTTTAGAGCTCGTCCGCTATCTTCAATATCTTACTAACAATACTGAATCCATATATGCTGAGAAAGACTGGTTTAAATTCATTTTTCAATGTCACTCATGTTACTCATAATTATGTAAACGATATACGTTCTAAACAATCTATTGACTATCAAGCTAATTACTGTAAACTTCATTCTGTATAAAGCAAACACCAAAGATAATCAACATGCTCAAAGAAAATAAAACAATCAATGAATCTTACTAAACCATCATTTCAATACTTACAATGGAATACAAGATCAATTACTATAGAATACATAAGATGGATTAAATTTATACCAATGAAATATACAGTTTGATGAATAAATTAAAATCATATTAAAGTTACTTAAAGCTTGTGATACTAAACTTCTGATTGAACTGAAATCAGTTTAACTCTGTTTCAATCCGTAATCTACTAGTTGACTGTTAGATACTTTAAACAGTAAACCACTACATGATATTTCGATAGCTATTCCTATGCTATAAATTACATATGTTACAATTGTATCACGAGACAAACGATAACTTGATATCCTGAAAGGAAACAGAAAAAAACAGAAGGCTAAGGAACACATTACATCGGGAAATAGAAACAGATATGAAAAGGATGAATCACAAATGGAAAGGATTGCCTAGGTCAGGGTTGAATGATGAATGCTGGTTGGCGGCCTATGCTCCTCTACGAGGAGTAACAGGCATAAGTAAGTAAGTATGTAACATCATACTCAGTATGTTGTTATCATTCAACCTTAACACTTTGTTCAATGATCCATTTCAATCATATTCCTTTTTTTTAAAAATAACTTACTAAATGTTTCTTTTCTTTCTTTCTTATCTCTTTTATAGGGTTGTTCTGAAGCATTATATCAATATATACAACAATCAATAATGTTAATAGTATATATATGTATTGCATTCGCTATTTTCAAAGCAATCTATTTGACTATTTCAATTCTTGTATATCGTAAATCTGATAAGAATAATTTACCTATATAAATAATAAAAATAACAATATTGATTAATTTCATTAAATCCGATCGATAATGTACTTCATATTATTGATTTTTTTTTATTAAAAAAAAACTGAAAAAAGGTGGGGGAGAATATAATAAAACTGATCAATATGTGATTTCATTTGATTTCATTCCTCTTTTTTTTTTCCTAAATGTTAACTTACATCTTCATTCATATGTCTTATTTGACAGATTTACATAGTTTTTTTGTTGCAAAATCATTTATACTACTCATAATAATAATAAATGATATATGACTTATTGATTGATAAATTTTTTTTGTTTTAATTTATTTCTAAACAAGAAACAAAGATTATCTTACGATTAATTGTATAAAAAGTTTAATATATGATATAACTCTTAAATAATAACTAAACAAGTTATGAGATTATTTTATATACTTAAATATAATACTTAATTACTTAAGTCTGTTACTACTACTCATGGAGAAGCTGAAGTCGCCCACGGGTACACTTCATTCAACCTTGTCTTGGAAAATCCTTTCGAGTTGTTATTCATCTTTTTTTATATCTGTTTCCATTTTGAGATGTAATATGTTTGTTGTCCTTCCACTTTTCCACTTCCTTACAGGATCCCATGTTAGGGCATTCATTGTGATGCAATTTGGTGATTTCTAAATATCAGTCATATTCACTTCCAAGGTCTTTTCCTAGTTTCCTCTCCAGCTGAAAGCTGGCTCGTTCTCTCCCTCAGAATGGTGTTGTTGATAGTATCCAATCAATGAATTTTCAGTATCTTGCATAGACAATTATTTATAAATACTTGTACCCTCTTGATGATACTTGTTGTAGGTCTCCAAGTTTCAATTCCATATAGTAGAACTGTCTTGACGTTCGTATTGAAGAGTTTGAGTTTGATATTCCTTGAAAGTTGTTTTGAGTTTCATATGTTCTTCAATTATAAGAATGCGGCGCTTGCTTTCTCAATCCCCGTCTTTAATTTTGCATCTGATCCTCATTGTTCATCGATGATGCTTCCCAGGGACGTGAAGGATTCTACATCATCCAGATTTTCACCATCAAGTGTGATTGAGATGGCATTCTCCGTGTTCTATTTGAGGATCATGATTTTTCCTTTGTGTATGTTGAGGCCTATTAATACAAAATCTACTGCTAAAGTAGTTGTCTTCAACTGTATTTTTTCATGTGTATAGGATAGGATGGCTAGGTCATCTGCGAAGTCCAAATCCTAGAATTTATTCCGAATTGTCAAATATAACAATATCTTGAAATCATGAACTGATCAAAGTTAGACAAGCATTGAAAATGTGAAAGTAATGAATAGACGTTTTGTCTGAGTATGTTACATATGGTTACATACGAGCCTGTATATGGGAAAAGAATCCAAGATCTTTGATCTTGTACACATATTCTTAACCTATTTTATTTATTTTAACACATAGGTATTGGTACAAAGAGGCACCAAATACATATGCGCCAAACAAATCTCAATTGATATGTGTGAGGGCTGTGATACTGCTCGGGTGCCCAAACTGAAACAGGTGGTTTACTTAGCGGTCACACCCCGAGCCTTCGACCTGAATGTCTGACCCACAAGGCAGTGCAGCATCGTGAGGAGATACAGTCCCATGGTAGCCGGTGACCAATGATTGATTCATACGCCATTTGTTCCTTCAGGATACTGGAGCCCATGTGCACCATTGGTTTGGGATCAGTTCTCTCATTTTTGCAAACAACACCACCGCCACGAGAAGGCAGTGAGTAGGACTTCTTTGGCAGAGGCTGTATACGCGTGGCCATATGAGAGCATTTGGAGAGGGAGATCGAACTCTCCCCACTCTCGGCCGTACCAGGGCATTTTGGGGCATTCTTAACCTTTAGACTTTTAGGCTAAAACCCAAGTACATATTGTTAAACTATTAAACATAAATGAGATGAAAATGATGTAAATGTACATTATAAATATCCATTAGTTATTGCATTTCAATCCAACCATGTTCAAACTTGGTTATTTCTGTTTCATGCAAGTAATTAAAAGTTATGTGATATGATACAGAAAAATTCTAATGGTAATCGTTAATCGGATATCCCATAGTTTAAGTAATTCTTGACCAATCCTTCCTAAAATGATTGTAAAATCATCTTTTATTAAAAGTAAGCAATTCGATGATGTTGAATGGAACAATCACTTGAGGATAATTCTCTTTCTGGAAGGTAAAAAGTATAGACCCCATATAAACCATACAATCAATCAATAGGAGAGATTTTGTTAACGAAAAGTCATTTATTCTAAAGTATTCAGTGGAACCTTAGCTCATTAGATAAGTTACCCAAACAGATGTGATATATTTATAAGAATGTAATATGTATATAATAACGCTAGTTGTATTTTTATTATTCTATACAATATGCGTTTAGGATATCCTCTAGTCTCCAGTTTATCATTGATAAACTGTTGTGATGTGTTCAATAAGTAATGATGATCGTTACTTTATGATAGATCAAAAACTAACAACGGAAGAAGTTTTAAAAATAGAAAAATTTGGCAACAATAGTTTTTGTATTTTTTATTATTAAAATGATCCCAAAATCGATTTGAGTAGAAAGCTATAGTGATTAGTAGGAAAATTGATTCGATTGTCTTGTGAGGTAACATAGAGTGTGATTTATAAGTTAGATATATATAGTAAAGATAATTCACTTCATAACAAGTTGAAACGTAATCTGATACAGAGTTATTCGATTGAATGTCTTCAACTAATCATGTATTTAGTAAAACTAATATTCTGAGGATCAATATTGAATGGTTACACATTAAACTATTTCAAGGAATTACCTACATTTCTTGGAGAATAAACCTAGCTTTACGCTCTCATTAGGGTTATTAATGGTTGTTATAAATCTTAGTTTAAAATTGAATGAAATGTTCTCTAACATTATTAGCATAGTTTATTAATGATTTGTTTATGGTGTTTGATGAACTATAAGACTACCCTTTCAACTATGCTCGTACTGATCGTTGTCTAAGGATGAAACTGATTTGAAAAACATAACACTGATATGTACTTTTTTATTACATACAACAGAGCATGCAACAATTGAATCACACTTGACGGAGAGGCTTTGGAGGATGTAAAAATCTTCCAGTAACTGAGCAGCATCATTGATGAACGTAGTGGATCTGATGAAGATGTGAAGGCGTGGATCGGAAAAGCAAGAGCAGCATATCTACAATTTAAGAACATCTAGAACTCAAAACAATTATCCACAATCCAACACCAAACTCAGAATTTTCAAGAGAAATGTCAACACAGTTCTACTGTATGAAGTAGAAACTTGAAGAACTACAAAAGTCATCATCTAGAAGATACAAGTGTTTATTAACATCTGTCTACACAAAATACTTTGGATCCGTTGATCAGACAATCTGCTATATGAGACAACAAACCAGATCCCAGTGAAAAAAGTAATCAGAAAGAAACGGTGGGAGTGGATAGAGTACACAAGTTGAGGAAAGCAGCAAACTGTGTCACAAGACAAGTCCTCACATGAAATCCTCAAGGCCAAATGAAGAGAAGCGGAAAATCCAAGAACACATCACTTTGAGAAATCGAAACAGACATAAAGAGACTAAACAACAATTGGATAGAACTAGGAAAGAAGACCTAAGAGACAGTGAGTTGGAGAATGCCGGTCGGTGGCCTATGCTAAAGAAGAAGAAGAGGAATACCAAAGAACACATTACTGTGAGAAATGGATACAGACATGTGAAAAATGAACAACAATTGAATAGAACGAGAAGTGAAGACCTAGGAAATAATGGATTGTAGAATGTTAGTTAACGTACCTTTACTCCATAGGGAGTAACAAGCCTAAGTAATGAAGTAAGTCATATGTACTTTACAAATATTTTCATTTATTCATAAATGAATAATTCGACATATGAATAAACTAAAAAAAAAAAGAACATGTGAGTGACGTTTACAAAAACAAAACAAAAAAAATCAAAATTCCTAAAATTTAGTTACTATGTAATTGTGATATAAGTCAACTATTTAATTGACAGTTATACATAATACTATACACCAAAAGGAATGATCATAGTAAACTATAAACATACATACAATACAATATACATAACTATACTAATAGTAATAATAATTTCGCTAAGTGATTATGAATATTTGTTACTAATCCATTCCATTCCATTCCATATGTGTTTGTTACTATGAGACAAATGACTAAACATGTTTCTTTCATTTGTTATTTTTTTTCTTTTTTACTATAATTAGGCAAAGAATAAATTCAAAGAATTTACATAGTGTGTATTATCTTTTCATATCTATATGTATATATTATTGAACAGACATTATTATCAATGATATAACTTGTATTTACTCTATATAATTTATAATATATAAACTGTTAATCATTTTACTAATATCTCATAGTAACTAAAATTTCAATCATTTTGATATAGAACTAAAAAGAAATAAAAAAAAACAAGAGAAAAAAAAAACAGGAAAAAGAAATTTAGAAAGAAAAAAAAAAGAAGAAGTGGGATCATGATTTTATCAATCGTAGAAAAATATTGGAAAAATATAATTATTTTATCAAATCTTTTATTTATTGTAAGTTTTTTTTTGTTTTTTTTTCTTTTTATTTTATTTATTCCTTTAATAGGTATTCAGTATTATTGTTATTTCATTAGGTATAGATAAATTGAACTTCTTAACTAGATTCACTATAATATTACATAATACTATACCAATTCTTATTCCTATTGTTATATCTAGTGGATTATTATGTTTATTAGTTGCTATACTTGGTTTCATTGGATTAATAAAACAAAAACAATGTATTACATTAATTGTAAGTGATTATATTTTTTTTTAAAAAAATATATATTATATCGATTAATTATTATATTTAGCATATTGGTGGTTTATTGATTAGTGCAATTATTGAATTTAGTACAGCAACTATGTCAGCTGTTTCTAAAGATCAGGTTAGTTCGATATCTATGAAAAGATGGAATGAAGAAACATTTACCCACCCCCACCCCACCCCATATTTTTTTTTTATAGTTTTTCATAAAAGTAAATTCATCATTACATGAATCTATACTACATTATCATATGAATTTTGAAATACAAAATGAATTTAATAATTTACAAATGAATGTAAGTTCTATTGAAATAGAATTTATATTAATGTATTATGTATATATATATATATATATATATAATAGCTTGGTTGTTGTGGGGCTTCAAGTTTTCGTGATTATTTGAAATTACATTCTGAAACACCATCATCTTGTAAACCGACATCATATGGATTTGTAAGTTATTATTCATTATTGATCATATATATATAAATTGTTTATCATTGTATATGTAACTTTTTAGAACTGTCCTGAGTTCGGTTACTACTTGGATTATTTATTTATTATTTATTTTAACACATAACTATAGGTACAGGGAGGCACCAAATACATATGCGCCACACAAATCTCAATTGATTTGTGTGAGGGCTGTGATACTGCTCGGGTGCCCAAACTGAAACAGGTGGTTTTCTTAGGGGGCCACACCCCGAGCCTTTGACCTAAAAGTCTGATCCACAAGGCAGTGGAGCATCGTGAGTAGATGCAGTCCCATGGTAGCCGGTGGCCAACAGTTGGTTCATACGCCATTTGCTCCTTCAGGATACTGGAGTCCATGTGCACCATTGGTTTGGGATCCGGTTAAAGCGCCGGACATTCGCTTTTCGTCCTCTCATTTTTGTAAACAACACCCCCGCCACGAGAAGGCAGTGAGTAGGACTTCCCTGGCAGAGGCTGTATACGCGTGGCCATATGAGAGCATTTCGAGAGGGAGAGCGGACTCTCCCCACTCTCAGCCATACCAGGGCATTTGGGGGCACTACTTGGATATATATATATATATATATATATATATATATATATATATATAATGTGAAATCGTATTGTTTTTCTCTTTTTGATAATTAATTATTTTGAATTTGTATAGTTCAATTGATTTCTAGTGAATATTTTAATAGATTTCTAATGTACAAAGTTATTTAGATGAGATATATTACACATGATTGTAACAAATTACCTACGTAAATAATTCTTAGATTATCTCCGTTAGTTACAACGTAGGACCAGGTACATATATACATTGATTCAAATTGACACACCTTGTTGTCTATTGTGTCTTCTATAATTATATCCTATATAATTCTAGTTTTTATATTAAAGTAACACCTAAAGTAACTTGATGATGAGATAACATTTCAAGAATTATGATACATGAAGTTACTTACTTACTTACACCTGTTACTCTTAAGAGAGCATAGGCCACCGACCGGCATTCTCCAACTCACTGTCTCTTAGGTCTTCTTTCCTAGTTCTATCCAATTATTGTTTAGTCTCTTTATGTCTGTTTCGATTTCTCAAAGTGATGTGTTCTTGGATTTTCCGCTTCTCTTCACTCGGCCTTGAGGATTTCGTGTAAGGACTTGCCTTGTGACACAGTTTGCTGCTTTCCTCAACTTGTGTACTCTATCCACTCCCACCGCTTCTTCCTGATTTCTTTCTTCACTGGGATCTGGTTTGTTGTCTCACATAGTAGATTGTCTGGTCAACGGATCCAAAGTATTTTATGTAGACATCTGTTAATAAACACTTGTAACTTCTGGATGATAGCTTTCGTAGTTCTCCAGGTTTCTATTCTATACAGTAGTACTATCTTGACATTTCTCTTGAAAATTCTGACCTTGGCGTTGGTTGACATTTGTTTTGAGTTCCAGATATTCTTCAGAGGTAGATTTGTTGCTCTTGCTTTTCCGATCCACGCTTTCACATCTTCATCAAATCCACTGTGTTCATTAATGATGCTACCCAGATAGTAGTAGGTTTTTACATCTTCCGAAACTTTAATAATTACAATAAATATTGAAATGGTTCACATGATTTTTATAGCTCACATGGATGATTTTGATAGAGTTTTATTCTGTAAGCTAGATGATTTGAGCATGGAGCAATATCAAAGAAGTGAACAATAATAAGTTTAAACATCAACAAAACTCAATCAACCTTGTGATCTACCAGACAGACTACGAATCACAGATAAAAACATTCAAACACTTCACTTCTCTCTTAACTTTATACTGAGGATGTCATTCACAAGAACATTGATGAAATCTCCATCTACCTTATAGAATAAAACTCTATTCAAAAAACAATTAAATATCTATAATAAATGAATGAATTGATCATTCATATTTCTATATACTGTTTTTTTCCTCATTTATTGTTTTATTTTATGTAAGAAGAGTTCTCCCCTTTTCGATGAATTCATTTTCAAAGCTGTTACAATCCCGATATATATATATATATATATATATATATATATATATATATTCGTGCATTCTGTATAAGTGAGTGCATACTTCAGACGATTTCGCAAGAATATGCTGAGTGGTAGACCTGTACTGGATCTTGGGGCAGAATTACCCTCCAGCTTATTCAACATCCAGTGCTTTTGAGCATTTAACCTTTTTAAATGCTTTTTGTTACCTCGAACATCCATGTTGCTTCGACCAGTTGAGAACCGACTCTTATTTTTACAGGATGATAATAATACCGATAATAAACTTTTGTTAGACATAGTGATAGTGAGGTTAAATAAACAAACGTATTAAAAATCCTAATGATTAAGATCATCAGTCAGTTGAAGGTAGAGCACCATGGAAAACCTGGAAGTACTGGACGGCCGTTTCATCCTATCATTTATATACAAGATAAACTTAATAATCGTTTGATTGTTAATAGCTTAAATATTCATCAAACGATAGATAGGAAAATTATCATTGAGGAATGATGGCTTAGTAATGATAAGATAAAATGTTGAAATTGAGATGAAATATAATCAGGAGGATCGAAGTAACAGAAATAAATCAGTTTTGGGGGTAAAAGATTTAAGGGGAAGATGGAATGTGAAGCAATTGGTTGTAAAGGAACAAGACAAAAATGTTAATATATTAAGACCATGGTAGAAGAAGAAGAGGTTGTACCAGTCTCTTTCGCTTACACAATTCTGGTTTTTGCAGATATATGACTATCACTTTGCAAATGCAAACAAAATACAATCTAATTGTCTTTGGAAGACTTCTATTTACCTAGTAGATGAATTTGAACACAGAATCTGTCTTGATTGAGTGACTTGTGTTCACAAGGTGTTCGATTATACAATTTCTCCTCTTTTTAGTCACTCCGGACAATGTTCTTGAATTCTTTTGGATAACTGATTTTATTTTTATTTCCATGATCATTCCAATTACATTTCATCTCTATTTCCAACATTTTATCTTATCATACTGAGCTATTCTTTCCTAATGATAATTTCCCTATCTAGCCATTGATAATCATATTGAACCTCATTGTTACCATGTCTAACAAAAGTTTATTATCAATATTATAATCATCCTATAAATATAAGTATACATATTTGTGATAGTACAACTTTAAAGATAAATTCGTGCGAAAAAAAAGGGGGAGAATTAATCTATTCTATTTAATATATTTTAATGAATATATTTTATTGATTTTAAAAATATAATCAATCATTTCTCATTGATTTGATCCGGTTGTTTTCTTGTTTTTTTTTCTTTCTTTTTCTTTTCTTTTCTTTTTTTTTCTTTCTATTATCATAATAGGGTTGTGTTTTAGCTATTACTCGTTATATACAACAATATATTATGATATTAATGTATTTATGCTTTATATTTGCAATATTAAAAGGGATATATATCATTCTATCAATATTATTATTTCGTAAAACAGTTGGTAAAGAGAATTCATCTGTATAAACTTAATATTATACAATAATTAAATTGTAATATTATAAACTATAAAATTATCATAGAAATATCATAATTGAAATTGATCATTTATACATGAACAATTGATTGTTTCCATTTTGAAACTATTGATTATCATTCAATGTTATGATTTGTCAACTTTTTTTTCTTTTACAAAAAAAAAAAATATATATATATATATATTCTTTATACTAATCACCATAGCAACAGATTTGTTAAAATAATATCAATCATAAATTTATTTAGTATTATCAAAAGGGGGGGGTTTGTGGAGATTTTAGAAATTTCACTAGTTGAAATCAGTAGGGATCTAATAGTTAAGCGCTTGCACGCGAAACTGATAGGTCTTCGGTTCGAATCTCGAATGGGGGGGGGGAGAGACGAGATCGTGGATGAACACTATTAAGGAGTCTTATAATAAGTTGAAACAGACGTCCATTGTTTATAGGTTTACCATGGTAGTCTAGCTTCAATAGAATTTTCTTGAATTTTCTTCATTGATATTTAGGACTATAATTGATCAATCTGTTATTGGTATATATGTGTACTGTGTGGATTAACTCGATATAGACTTAAGTTACTAGCATTATAAGCAAAGATGGATGGTGGCTAGCAGAGGAATTCAGTTTGACTCGTATTTCATTCCATTTGGGACTCGAACCCAGTAACGTTTGTTTCAAACGCTATTGCATTATCCATTTAGCTAATGAGTCCTGATAGAAACTTACTTGTACAATGGGATGAAATTTAAATTCACTTGGTGTTGTTGTTTACTTGTATCTTCACACTAATATTTAGGACTGTAATTCATCAGTCTCTTATTATCATATCTGCCTCGTGTGCGAGTTTCCCCGATATTACCTTAATTCACAAGCATTCTAAGCAAAGATGGATATTAGCTAGCAATGGAATCTACAATACGCGTTCCGTCCTATTTGTAAAATCGACAGCTAGATGTACTTGTATCTCAGAGTTAATGTATACTCTAGGACACGAACCCATTACCATTTGCTTCAAACACCAACGTGTTATCCGCTTAGCTACTGAGTCCTAATAGCAACTAACTTGTACAATATTTTTATGCTATTTTAAAAGTTTTCCAACAGGATTCATCATTCTTGTTTAATGTTTCACAATAGTATTGATATCAAAATTCATATCAATAGAAGGATTTGTCAATTTCGAAACATTAGTCGATTTAACTGTATTTTGATTATTCTAGTTGAGTGTTGTGATCTGTTGAACTTTGAAGAGGTCAATAGAGTTGAATCTATACCATATTTTAGATTTAAACTTTTCAGAAAATAGATATGATATTGGATCTTTCGAAGAGTCCAAGTCACCTAAATGAGATACGCTCAATAGCGAAGTTCTCAAAACAACGATTTGTCTACAATAGCGGTACTTTATTGAATAATACACAAAATTTAGTTCCGAACCTCAACTTGTAAGATGTCTGAGGCGTTTAAACGCGTCCTTTAAGTGTGAAATAAAAAGGCTCCCTGAAATAGTAACGTAAAGAATAATTACAGCATACGATAGTACAAAGAACAGCTGATAGCTATGTCTAAATATGATAACAGTTTATCAACAACCGAAACCCGAACCAAGAGCAAAACAATATGGAAACTGTTGCGTTTAAACAAATCCACAAAACTGTGGATTACCATCACATTGATTAAGGTACAGTAATAATAATGTTGAACACAATGATAACTACAATAAACGTTATAAGTATATGTGAACATTTCAGAATATTACACTACAACTTGAGTTACAACATAAGTGTAAAAATTACTGGGAAAACAACTGCTTACTGAATGTAAATAAGTAGTATATAACAATATACAAAAGTGAAAAGGAAGCCAGTAAGAACAATGTAAGGCTAACTTAACCATATGATTAATATGAAAATCAATCACTTTATGATTAAGATACGAAAGTGACAGGTAATATAAGTATTAATAACCCATCACATTTAAATGTTATGGATACTTTAATTCAGTAAATAAGATCCAAGGAATTTTAATCAATATCAGTAAAATACCGTTTAATCTGAGACAACATTCATAAGAAGTATGTAAACCGAATAGTCCATTTGATAAATTTTGATAATGTAATAAGAAGATAAAGATTATCAGAACGATGTTGTTATATAAGTGCAATATACATTGAACAATCTAATCACCTATATACTTGTTAAGAACATTTATATATACAAATGAATAGTCAACTAGGCACATAGACAGTAAAAAGAAATAAAGCTAATCAAGAAAACAATATGAAAAACAGTATGAAACATACTACATTGAATAAGTAACGAATATGACCAGGATAAATTTTAAAGTGCAATACAATTGACATGATGGATACACACAATCCATGCTTCAACTACAATAAAAATATATCGAATTATTAACAATAATACAATGACAGATGTAGATTATTATCATTAGGGACCGAATACCTTAACATATTAAGGCAGCATCATTGATGAACACGGTGGATCTGATACAGATTGGAAAGCAAGAGCAACATATTTACAAGTGAAGAACATCTGGAACTCAAAACAACACCAAGGTCAGAATTTTCAATACAAATGTCAGCACAGTTCTACTGTGTGCGGTGGAAACTTGGAGAACTACGAAAACAATCATACAGAAGATATAGGTGTTTATTAACAGTTGTCTACAATAAATGGTTCGAATCCGTTGACCAGACACTGCCAGCTACAACCTACCATGGGAGGGAACGAGCCAGATTCCAGTGAAGGAAGAAATCAGGAAGAAGTGCTGGAAGTGGATAGGACACACAGTGAAAAAAGCACCCAGCTACGTCACAAGGTAAGCCCTCACATGGAATTCCGAAGGTCAAAGGAGAAGAGGAAGACTAAAGAACACACTACGCCGGGAGATTGAGATAGACATGAGAAGCATGAACAAGAATTGAATGAAACTAGAAAAGAAGGCTCAGGAAAGAGTGGATTGGAGAATGGTGGTCGGTCGCCTATGCTCCTTTAGTAGTAACAGGAATACTACTACTACTACTACTACTACTACTACTACTACTACTACTACCTAATTGGATACTAACATCCAAGCAATTATTTTCTTGTCTCAAATCATTTATATACAATATGTGTATCTTCATGTCAATCGAAGATAATAAGTGTTTTTCATTTAGAAATCATTAATGCTGTGTACAACTATTGATTCGTTTTGTAAACATACTTAGAAAACTATTACCATAAAAAGATATTTAGATTAATAATGAATGTTAAAAATACAAACCACAGCACACTATTCAAAATGTGAATCAATATGCATTGATCTGTTGAAGGTATAGAATGATATATGTTCTAGGTAGAAGAAAAAACAAGGGAAATTATAAACTTTTTTTCAAACACAGAAATGACATTGATGAGAAGTGATGAGAAGAAGGTTTAATAGTTGAATTCATGAGTTCGTTAAAGCTAGACTACTATGGGAAATCTGGAAGAACTGGACAGTCATTCTGTCGTAGTACGGGATTTGTCAGCAGTGCGCATCCACGATACTGCTCGCGGGATATGAACCTAGGATCTTCGATCTCGCGCCACAACGCTTAACGAGATTACCAGTCAATGAATTCAAATTTGATTAGTGACGAGATAGGTAAACGATACATGACACATTTTAATTTTAGAATACAAGACGCTCATTTCGTCGTATTTGGAACTCATTAGCTCGATGTACCTGAGTCCCAGAGTTAGTTTTATTTATTCTATTTTATTTATTGTAAAAA